ATGCACCGGTTTTGATTTCTGTCTTCTGTCCCAAATTTAAGAGCAGAATGAAGATTGGAATGTTGAGGCCAAACTCAAGGGGAAGATGGAATATTCATGGGGACTGGGATTGTAAGAATATTGAGTAGATGCACCAGCACCACTGTTTGCGAAACTTAGCCATATCGCTCAGCATTTCTAACCACCAGTTACCATGACCCCGGGGCCCACATCCAGGGAGCCTAACGGCATCTATGCGACCCAATGTCCTGGTTAGGGTTTTCATACCCTCGTCCTATTTTGACCACCCTTGACTTGACCTTTTTTATCCGCTACCGGCCTCGGGAAACATGGCTCACCGTGACAACCTATTTGATGATATGGCCAGCACATATCCCAACAATCTCTGGAGGTCGACCACTGGATCCAGTGGACGACCACCATCACCTAAAATTCTGCGCTTAATCTCAGCATTGCTCGTCCAGTTTTCCACCAGACTCGTGCAATGCCAGGCAGACAGCGGTGTTCGAACATCGATAACATATTTTTATCCTGTTCCCGTAATGGTCAAATCTCGGCACTGAGTGAACTGCTGCGTCATACAGGGTCAGCCGGATTTCGCGAAGGTGCCACAGATGTCTCAAGTTGGTAGACGCCAACCGAACCTTCTGTATACGTGCCGACACCTCATGTGTGACGTATCGGCTAGGTGAGATATAGCTGCCTAGATGGCCAAATTAGTCTACTACCTCTACTACTTCCCCAGTTAGGGTGAGGTTGGGGGTTAGACCAACCGAATCTTGTAGCAACATTTTATAGTTTGAAGGTGTAAAACGCATACCGACCATGGCTACACCAGCATTGAAACTATCCAGAAAAGCTTGCAACTTACCTGGATCTTCACCTAGTAACGTAATGTCGTCCAGGTGGATGCGAGAATGTGCATCGGACACAGGATTGAATGCCCGTCTTTATTACGCACCTAGGTGTGATGAACAGCAGACGGGGAAAGTCCCAGAGTTACGAGAACCTGCTGTTCAGTGATGTTAACCGGC